AATGTTATAAAATAACATGAAAGGATGAAAGTAACCAGAAAAAAAGCATGAATGCTAATCGAGCCTGGTACCTTCCATCAAACAATGTCATTGTATTTAATCAACATCAGCACGGCTGTATCTATTAATGTCCAACGACTTTTTTTTTTTGGAGGACCACAACTCTTTTCAATATTTTGATCTCCCGTAAACGATCACATGTAAGTCTTTTGACATCCTCCAAAATTTAGAATGATGACCCACCGGTTTATGGACAAGTGATGATTCTTTTGTAATTGTATTTTTCAATTTCCGATTGGCCACTTAAATTTTTTTCCTCCGGTGTTCTTCACGAGCAGGCGGTAATAAAATATTGGGTTCGTTTGTCACCTGTCCTTTCAATTCACTCTCGTATTCTACAAGCTTAGATTATTCATTGAAGTGTAATTTTGTGGAAAAACCTATAAAATCTCATCTTTTCTCTATCAATCTCTCTCTCTCTCTCTCTCCATCTCTCTCTCTCTTTCTTTCTAGTTTTTTTTCTCTCTCTCTCATCCTCTCTCTCTCTCCCTCCATTTATTATTCTACCTCCCTCCCTCTATTACATATTTCTCTCTAATTGGGTGGACGGTTGGATTGTTTCTTTTATTTTCCCCTTAAAAATATATATACTTACGTATCATGATCGAAAAGAAATATAAGAATCAGTTCGCTGGATAGCTCTATTCAGAGCCAATGATGTAATGGATCTTCCTAGATGACCAGAAAACAATCCATAAATAATATTATAACACAAAAATTAAACTTATATGAATAGGTCAAAATGTTTAACGGTAGTTTTACCTACACATCTGGTAAATTTCCTCATGTGATCTTCCCTTACTTTACATTGTTGTTCCGAAGCTATGAAATACGATAACAAATGACAAACCACTAAGGCTTACCTAGCGAAATCTCTTCATGACGTATGTGACAGTTCTTGTCTTTTCTATCGATTCGCTAACGAGAGAGGAGGGCAGCGAAAGGAAGGGGGATTTTCTTTTGGAACTTAGCTTTTGCAGTAAAAAAAAAGTTTGCATTAGAAAAAGATAAAAAGGGAAAGAAAGAGAGATAGGGAAGAGAAAGTTAGAGAGAGCGAGCGAGCGGCGGGGAGGAAGTCGGAGAGATCAAGGTGAGACAGAATGAGAGAGGACATCGAGGAACATGTACATAAGAGGATTTAAGATTGAATAGTTTCTTTATGTGATAGTCGATTATCACACTCTTTAAAAATTTTATGGTAGCCTGCTCCTTAAAATTGTACACAAAGTTAAGATGAGATAAAAGTCTTTGGAATACCAGTCATGTATTGATGATCTGTGGCTAAGTTTGGGGATACAAGCGGTACACTAAGTTTCGTGTTAAAGTTTGTACAGTTTGCAGTTAGCCCCAAAACCTTTCCGATTGTGTCAAATTATTTACATAGTTTGTTATCATCTCCCTATCTAGAATTTGCCAAGCTGCTTGTCTTTATTGTGTGTGGGCCATCATTATTATCAAAGCGGATTTGTCTACTATAATAACAAAAAATACCTCCAAAGAATATCGTCCATTCCTCATCCCGAAATCCATGGAAATTTGAACGATATCTCAACCGTAGGACTTGTAAAGTGCAGCTCAATAATTCTTCATCTCATATTAGGGTAGTGACATTGTTGACTCCTTTGCAGAAAAAGGCATTTATCAATGGATTTCTGCTTTCATCATTTCTGAGGAGTAATATCGATCAGAATTGCTTGGATCTTAGAACAATCTTAAATATAAATTGCAGCCAAAGTGCATGAACTGTTAACATGACGTGGTACTAACATATTCACTTTGAAAAAGAAAAAACACAATTACGTACATCGCAAGCATTTCCATTGCTCACGTAGAGGTTTGGGGTTAATGTCCATTGCACACAAGGCATCATTTGCCTGACGTAGGAATGCGTCAGTGACGGGTGCGGTCTCTGACGCGCCGAAATATGTGAGAGGTATCGCACAAGAGCTGATTGTAAAATGAACTGTTCAAACAATGCTTTTGATAAATGTTATATGAGCTAACTACCGCCATAACTGTGATCGAATAACTCAGCAATAACGCAAATGAAATGACGCATTATGCCATACGGGCATATCTTTCTTAAATACACAGCTAAACAATGTACCATAGTCCTGTATCATGTGAATAAAAGGATATACTATTGTTTTATAAGGCAATATGTCGCAGGTTTATTTTAGTAGGTATGTTTAGGTTTAAGTGAAGCATTACTTAAGCCGTATAAGTTATGTATGTAGGTAATCAAATTAATTAATCATGAACCGTCCTTGATTGATGAGATAACAATGATAGACCTATCCGAGGAGAACCGTCGGAAAGGAAATATATTCTACCAACACTCTCATTCCTTCTTATCTATACCATACAATCAAGGTAATAAAAGGGTATATCACCGTGATTATGACATTGTTGAAACTGCATACTTTGTTGATTTCTGTCCAACGTCAATCCAAAGTCATTCAAATGCCTGTTTTTGGAACTGTCATTCAACAGATATCATTCATTCTGTAGATCACAAGAAATCTTTTTGGAGTAACAAGAGCTTTGTCTTTGAATCGTCCAATGAAAAGAGCGAGGCACCTATGTGTGCGAGAATGAATGTGTATTTAGAGTGCTAATTGCGGGTTGGAGTCATTTGTCGCTTATTATACAAGAGACAATATTATGGTGTCCGTGAGTACGTCATTCAAAATGTAAATTGACATGCTTGTTAAGAAAACCATTACACAAAGTGCATCAGTTGCTGACAGGAATACAATATAGCGTTCTTGGTAATGTCTTAAACATATGTCACTATCATGATAATGGAACTATGCTCTTGTCAGCCCTTAGTTTTCCCACGGGTACATAGATAAGTGATACCATGTTAAGGCGAAGTAGAGTATAGAAACATTTCAATCAAATCAATATGAGGTGTACAACCTATTCAATCTTTGACGAAGATAAAAGCAGTTCACAAACAGAAAAGCAAACAGAAGACCAATTTTCTTTCTCTTTATCTCTGCGTTAAAATCATCAGCGTTCATTCAATACCCTGTCTTATTTTACCCTATTTATATTGTGTTGCTCCGGTTGTCTCATTTTCGCTCGCTGGAACATTGCCAGCACAAACCACTGACCTCTACCTCCTGGACGGATCATCGCCCATTCCCATTCACTATATAATACGTTACGTACTAAAAGGATGTATTGTCTGACCGTTCATGAATATTCATGTTTTTGCTTACCTCGGCAAAATGCTTGCCTCTACTAAATGGAAAAATTACGGTGGGGGTTGGATGAAATGGACATAATGAACAAATCAGAACTGATCTATGATAATTCATGCTTCTTATCCTTCGTGTGCTTGACTAATATAACCTTACAATCGCGTGGTAAATTGAGTCCAAAGTTCGACTTGTTGTACATGTGTTATAATATAGTCAATGGCGAGCTTGCGACCTATTTTGATGAAATTACGGTGGGTGAACTTTCGAAAGTCAATAAGACACGAGGGTTCCCATGAAAGAGCTAGTGATAACGTACGTCGGGTTGGATGTGCTTTTCGTTTAAACGTTTTTTTGAACGATTTGTTGGGTAAAAGTCCATAGGCTATTATTTTAAACATGTTAGGCTGCTGACTTTGACTATAGGGGGCGTTGTCAAATGAGACTAAACGGAGCTATATGGAAAAGAAGGATAAGAAAAAGAAGTAGTAGTAATAATAATAATAGAAGTGGTAGAAGCAGTAGTAGAAACAGTAGGAGTAGTAGAAGTAGTAGAAGTAGTAGAAGTAGTATAAGTAGGAGTAGGAGTAGTAGTAGTAGTAGTAGTAGTATAAGTAGCAATAGTAGTAGTAGAAGTAGGAGTAGGAGGAGTAGTAGTAGCACTAGTAGTAATAGTTGTAGTAGTAGTAGTAGTAGTAGCAGTAATAGTAGTAGTAGTAGTAGTAGTTGTCGTTGTTGTAGTTTCAAAACTTTTCGGATCTTTGATATTAACATATTTTCACTAATACGTTCACATCTACTCTGGATGAATAGGCAACAATGTATTATCCATGCCTTACAGTGTATCATCCTTGTGTTACAATGTATCATCCTTGCGTTACAATGTATCATCCACGCGTTACAATGTATCATCCACGCGCTTCCCTCGAGTTATGGTCTATTGTGATCAAGTGCACTCAGGCATGACGACGTATTTTGCTTCAGTGTATGTTAACCTGAACAATGTAGGTAAATCATTTACGCAAAATTTACACCAAATTCCTTTAGAGTCGCTTACAGTGTGTTCTGCAGCCTGCGGATAGAATTTCGTTAACATAAATGTGTCTTAGGATTGTGTTTAATGGACGGATGTTCGAACTCGGGGTTTAATCGAATGGTCGTAATTCAATTGGGAGACAGTCATGGGCAAAAACGATATAAAGAGAGTTAATCGCAAGAAAAGTTAAGCGGGGAGAAGGAACCAGAAGATAATGAGATAATCTTATTTACGTGAGGAAGGGGAGGATTGGTTTGTGAAATGGTCATTTATTCCGCATTTTAAGAGGTGATCACGTCAGGTCGTGAAAGATGTTCAGCCGTTATATAATGCATTGAGGATTTAAATGATGTTTCGGCCGTTCTTGTGGGAGCACAATAGGAAAACAAATGTTATAAACGATGTGTGCCCCTACAAGCAAGAATGGAAATAAATATGCCGTCTACATGCCTCCCTCAATTAAAAATGGGTTGTTAACATATAAACATATGAAATATCTTTCTAAAACTATTATTTGGAATTGCTCCGGTAATTGTGGCTGACATTTCCATGTTCAGCTCTCTCAATCGTATAACTGGACTAAGATTTGTACGTTTTAACTTATAGTGTTTCCCGGCCAAAATTTAATTTATCACCATGATAAGCTTAAGTGTAAGATTTGGATACTAAAGAACATCCTTCTTTTGTCGTCTTTACAGATCCACAAACCACCATCAATAAATCACCATGCGAAGCCTGAGTTTAGCCGTTCTCCTCCTCGCCTGCCTCGCAGCCATCATCTCAAGAGAATCGCCCGTCCAAGCAGTACCACGGATAAGACCCGCCATCTTGCAGCACGGTATGCCGTTCGGAAAGAGGGGATACAGCGGAAACAATGCAAGGGATTGCTTCCACAGAGCGCTCAACGACGATAAAAACAGCGAAGAGCTTGTCAATCTGATCGAGGCATGGTACAGGATGAAAGTTGAGGATGGACTTAGTTGTATGAACGGATTATCAGCATTCGACGAGGCCGCGGCATAGTGGGTCAGTACATCAGCTTCTATCACATATACAGGGTGACGCCCAAAAGAATTCAAGCCTAGAGATATATTCAAACTCAACGACATCATTGGCATAATGTCATAGTTTTTGTGTTAATGTGTAAGAAATTCCTTTTCCGGTAGAAATAAGACCAGGATCCTAATTTTGTGTAAGGTGCTCTGATTCTACTGCTATTTTAGCGAGCCAACGTCGTTTTCAGAATGGGCTTCTTTTTCAGCATCAGTCATGCTTCCCACACAGTAGGCTGTGTTTGCATGAGCAGTCATGCGTTTGACATTGCCTCATAAACAAAGTCGAATAATCAAAAAGCCTCACCCGAAACTGGTAATCTTGCTGCCATTGTTACGCGAAAAAAAATGTTCTACCCGATTGAAGCAAAAGGCTATGACAGTCAGTTAATGATGTCGTTGACATTGCAGATTTCAGGTGTAGCGTTCATTTTTGGCTACCCTGTATAATCACCTGATATCGACAACAAAAAGACGCGTGTAAAATGTTGACCACTTCAATAAAACTTGTTTGGAACTAAATTTTGTTTTGAAGATGTATCTTTTTTTTTAGATGATGCAATAAAGTTTTGTACGGACTACAAACCCTCGGAATAGAAACAAAACTGTTCAAAAGGATGGGTTTCCTCATGTTGTGGAGGATAATAATAGTTCCGGGCGGAATTCCGGGGCTTAGTTGTCTTAGAATATTCATTTGTTCCAATATTTCCGCAATTACAGGATGTTTCCTCACCTAAGTGTCCACATTCACAGGCTAAGCTCTATTATCACATTTTGACGATACTTACCATTTTACATCAGCTAACCCATGGTAACTATATCTCAAACCATCCTATTCTAATCAACATTCCAAGTATTATTTACGCCATAATGATCTGATGGTCTGATCTAAGCCATAGTAAAGCTATCAACTTCATGAGATTGTGCGATCGCAAAGGCTTCCAAATAAATCAACTTAAGGGCACTTTCAATGCCTTGTTTTATTTAATTTAGAAATAAAAATCTGATGACATAATATGTCGTTATTTTCTTCTGACGGTTTCAAAGAAGATGGACAAAGACTGGCTGAGGTTTAATTTTTCGAAAGTTTCCGATCGTGTTAAATTAATGAAAATGGACAGAATGTCTTGCACTTGTCCTCTTATTAATCTCAAAAGTCATCATCTGTTAATTCTATTCTCCCGACATCCTTTAAGAACAATGAGACTTGGGAAATCTCAATCTTATTTATGCATAGAATGAAAATAATTGACAAATTTGCTTGCCTCTAAGATAAAAAACAAAAACAAACACAAATCTTATTGGCTGTAAAGGACACTGATTGAAAAAGAAAATCTACCTTTGCTTGGAAAATCCATTATGAGTCCACCTCACATGAGCCCGGCGGTCAACTTGTACACCTGCTCTCCAACTGACAAAGTGGTTCATAGACGAAGTCCATTAGACTGGATGCATCGATATGATGTTATATCAAACGGAAGGAATATAAATCGCTGCAACAAAATATTCACTGTGTACAAAGAAGACAATAAAAAATCATTTTCCCACGAGCTTCTTGACTTTTTATGCTTTCAGCAACCACAGACGTCACATTCCAGATTGAATATACTCTATCTGAACAAAGGAGTAAAATTCCTCTCCAATCGTTCTTTTGAAATTGAGATTGTCTGGTTAATGATATAATATCACAAAGCTAAGTGCATTGCAGTCTAATAAGAACCCAAGGGAACGCTAATGGTGAGGAATCCATGACGTGTGGAGGAGTAGCACTTTACGAAAAACTTCCTCTGCTATTAAATTTGTAAACCTTATGTTTTCCCTTGGTGTGACTTATATTTTAAACAAAAATCAAATTAATGCACATTTGCTGTCCTCTCCATCGGATAAGATTTGACTCAAAAACTGCTACACGTAAACAAATTATATCTCCCTTTCTTTGCGTTAACTCACTTGAATTTACCTGATTGTTGAGTTATTTTTGTTTGAAACTATGGCAGATACACGAAAATCCAGTGATTTCATAATGTTAACGATAATATTTTTTTTGTTTTAATCATGTTTACGAAGATTTTTCCCAGAAGTCGTCTTCCAAAAACGTCCGAAGAATATAAATGTTTAAGATATACAGATTTAGTTCGTAAGATTTGACATGTGTAGTTGCAGTATTGTGAATGTATAGATCTATCATCAATTATTATTAGTGATAAGGCTATATTTGACGGTTACGTTTTAAGGGAAAAGATGACATAATTTTAAAGTATATGAATGTGGAGGAATAATACCAAACCCATGATAAAGCTTGCTCTTTTACGTCATATTCTAAATATGACAAGAAAGGGATGACATAATATGTGGACCAAATGTTCATGCCACATGTTTGTGTAGTCCATATACATTTTCATATTTCTGTGTAGAATCTATGTGACTTTCAGCATGACTGTGTCAGGTTACCATCATTCCCTTAATACAATCATACCCGGACAGTTTCTTTCACAATGCAATTTCATGACAAGATGTAGAAGGTAGGCAAGATATGATAATAATATAAATGATAATATTCTGCTTTTATAGAGCGCTTAATACATCTCCGATGTCTCTAAGCGCTTTACAGATATACTATTCCCCCGGTCATTGGATTCAATGCTTGCCCGCACACATTATGTGCACAATTTCCACTCCCCGGGGAGTAGTTCAGTCAGGCGTTACTTGACGCTCAAAACTTTTATTAAAGATCCATGATACCCTACATCATACCGCCAAACTCACTGAATCTGGCCGTTCGGGGTAATGTATTTTTTTTTTGGGGGGGGGGGGGTGGTTGGTCCGTTGTCGTCTGGTGTCGGTCTCGTTTATGTGACTAAGGTATTTACTCAAAAAATGACACATCCATATTTAATTTTCAGTTTGACACATTAGTCAACAGTTATTAAGACTTTGGAATATCGAGACGATATACCATTTTCACCAAACTTCAAGCCTTCTTCTTTGATATTTTGTTAATTGAACCGAGGTTCCAGTATAAAGGTCGTCAATAGTAGTAATCAACTAAATAGGGATATGTAGAGCATTTTCTGTATTCATTCGACATATCGTTAGTCAAAACGACGATAGAAATTAAATTATTATATCTTATAATGTGGGTTTAAAAACACTATATCATCCAGTATATATTTAGCTTATCATCAAGTATTCATTAGCTTAAGAAACTTTCCGAATGTTGCACGTAAATACTCATTCAAACTTCGAGATTGAATTAAATATGTATATAATGATACAATCTGTTCTCCCTTCTCATTATTTTTTGTTAATACTGAATAATGCCAATGAAATTTGATTATTTTTGACCTTGTATTTTTCCCTCCCGCATCGTAAAATTCTTTTCAGTTGTAAACTAACTAAGATTCAACCGTTATGGAAAATTCATCGCCCATGACAACGTGTTGCTTATCTGCCGAGTCTTGCATCGTGACTTATTGATGAATAAGGTATCTGGATTTTTGCCTTTTGTACCAATGGCAAGTGGGCGTTGAGAATACATCTTACTTCTCTGCCAATTTTGCGATGAGATGAGAATATCAAGAAAATTAGCTTTTTGCGATATGAGAAAAATATGGGCTCACAGATTAAAGGAAGTTAAATATTTCATGTATCCTTGAGTGTATCAAAACGTTCGACGTCATGTTCTCATTAAAACATGTTTTTCTTTACCTCAATTGTTAGGAATCCTCATTGACATGACATAATTGGCTGTAGGTTGTTTTGTGGACCGTGGTAAAATGAAAGATATTGTCACCTTTAAAACTGAGCTCTGTATATTCCATGAACTGACCTGCTGGTCGATGTTCATTGCTCGCTCCAGTTCCAATATTTCATTTATTGATATCAATTAGAGCATGCCATGTTAAACCAATCAAAAATTATATCTGCCCACGGTCGAAAATAATTTGCTTTCCTCCATGTTTTTCAATAGACAATATTAAGAGGATCTATTTGACGTTTGCTTTTATACAAAAGGAATTTATGTAATGTGGTGTTTGGTGGGTTTTTATTTTGGAGCAGGAGAGCAACTGCACTGGAATCTACCACATGTGGCTCGCAGTTTTTCTGGAACAAACAGAAAAAGAGCAATAAGGAATTTCTCCTTTAAATCCCTTCCTAATGATCATTTTACTCGCACTTTTATCAATTGGAACATGTATATTTTTCATATAAAATCTTCCGTTTTACAATGCTTTTGGGAAACTTCCAATTTACCACAACCTTCTTTTGAATTAAAATTGTGGGGAAATTGGCTCAAAAACAATAATCAAGTATTCTGGAAACGGTCATTGAAATTTGAATACATCTTGGAAATAGGAACAAACTATAATTAACATTTCTCCCCGTTTTAGAACGTCGGAAAATGAAGAACCACGAATTTTTTAAAGACTCTGTAAATTTCTATTTTTCAATTTTTTTCCGTCCAGGTATCCGTCATCTTTTTATATCTTGATCCCACTTACAGTCTTGGTCATACGGGATAGTGATGGGAAGAAAAAAATAATCTTCCTATACGGTATAGCAGAAAAGTGTCGTTCAATGATCGGAGACAGGTTGTCAATCAATTGCAAATTGGGTATTTTTGTATACATGATGGATAATTTAAATCATCCACCGATTTACTGCGGCTATTTCAGTTTAGAATATAGACGGTGGTAATATTGTAAGGCAAATAAGCAGATGTGACAATGGTGGCAGAGATGGCACTTTCCATTTTACGGTTTAAGGTTCAAGGTTCAAGTCCATTGTTCATTAGTGTCCAAAATATTTACTTATAACAATATATACATATATTGGATAGTCAAATGTTTATAACAATTATGTTACGCAGTAGTTTGCAGTGGCGATAAAAGAAAAAATGTATTCGCCACAATCATGTAAACTAGTTAGAAACTAAACTAAAAAAAAAAAAAATCGGTTGTGGAGTGAATTATT